AGGGTTGAAGACTTTGAGGAAAAGCAGAGTGGCTGTGCTGGTCCTTCATCTCCACCTCAGCCTCACCTGCCTCCTCCTGCTCTCCTTTGGAACTTTCTATCTGGAGTTCTGTACCTGTTTGCTGCTCCGGCTCAGTTTTGATCCCAGTCTGCGGTTTATCATCTTCATCATCGCTCAGGTCATCTGTGATGTCTACATCCTCGTCCTCACCATCAGAAAGCTTCTCTATGCGGACGGCGTTTGCCAGAGAGGATGCATGGCTGGATGTGGTCTGAGGAGGTTGCAGCGCAGGTCCAGCAGAGTGAGCTGCAGATCTGGGCTCTGATTCAGCCTGAGGAAATATACGGATGATGAAAGAGTTAGTTTGTCTTTCATAATTTCTAAGGCTGTCACAAGGTGTGTCCTCTGGTTGTGAAAGACTTATTAGGAAACCACATTTAAATACTTGGAAAGGTCCTTGTTTTAAGTAACACTATGTTTCTTTTACTGAACAACAGCGCCCTCTGCAGCCGAGCAAGTGGTTTTCAACAAACAAAAGCCTATCAATGTGTTGATTGGAGTTTTAATCGTGTTGTCCCGGTCACTGAATACACAATAATAATGATAATAAACTAGCACTTTTCAAAAACATGTGCAAGAAGTGCTTCACGGATATAAAAACAAAAAAAACATGCTCAATCAACAAATATAAACAAGTTCAGGAAAGAAAATGAATAAAATAAAGCAAAAAAAAACAAATGCCTGGTTTAAAGTAATATAATATAAAAAACATAAAATGAAAAGCAAGAAAAGAGTGAAAACACTCCAAACCCATTTTATACAAATGCCTTTTTGAAAGAGTTTTATAAAAGAATACTGAGGTAGCTTGGCTAAAGGTTTCCTCACTGAATATTGGAGATAAATGCTTGTTAATGTATTTTCATCTGATCTACAGTTCAGCATTACTCTTGGCTTTGCTGGACAGGATTCTGGCAGTTTAAGCTGCGACTATCAGACTATTACAAACTTCTCACAGACGATTGTACACCCTCACCAATGTTACAGGAAGAAAAGGCAATCAGGGTGAGGAGTGGGGACAAAAGCCACAGCATTCTCCCTATTCCAAGTCAATAAAACATCAAACTCATTTTGAAGCTGCTCTTTTACATTAAAAAAGTTGCATAGTTTTGCTTTAAGTAGCAGCGTCACTTAAGGATAATGTAAAGGTGAATCTCACCTTGTTTTTAAAATACTGTCTGGCATAGCTCTTGACCTGGAGGACAGAACGGCTCTCCACCACTTTGGCAATCTTGGTCCATCTTCTACCAAACTGAGCCTGCAGATGAGCACACCCACATTATATTCATTCAGATTTACACAGAAATGACCACTTCCACAAAGAATCAAAGAGAGGATTAAGACATGCTGAATATATTATTATGTAGGGGAGTTTACCAGTCCTTCTTCAAACAGCTCTTTCTCCTGTTTGGACCAATGAGAAGAGGATCCAGAAGCTGCGGTCGAGGGTTTGGCTGGAGAACTGACCACCAGAAAGAAAGGAGCAGGACATTAATGCCAACAACATGAGGAACATGTGTACTTGGATCATGTGAGTGCTGAAAGAGGAACAGACTTACTGTTTCACTTTGGGCTTGTTGTATGGATCACTTTCCCAAATATGATCAGGAATCTCTTTACCTGTCAGGTAGTATCTGTGATCATAGTTCAGGACCAACTGATGTAATAGTGAATGTGATCCAAACTATGTATATCAGAATAATATACTGTCCAACACAGTTCAACCATCAGAGACATGAAACTGATTAACACTAGAATTGCACCAAGTAGAGTAAATACCTCCACCAAGGGCCTTAATTCAAAATGTTAAGGAAAGTGATTAAAATTCCTCCATTTCAAACGAACAAATAAACAAATAGGCAGGGGTGAAAACCTCCTCAGCAGAGGTAATGATGAAAGAAATAATGCAATTTAACATTCTGGTTATTTTACTTGATAAATGGTTCCTGAAAAAATCCATAATGCATTTTAAATTTTAGGAAACTTCATGTCTTTATTTTGTAGTTCTGTTAGAGTTCAGTTATATTTTATATATATGCCATATTTGTCAAGACATCTGACATACTGTCATCTCAGTTTCTCATAAGCCTCCTCACTCTGAAAAACCTAATGATTATGTAAATTCAGAAGACGCTACAGAATCTGTCTGGTCAAAATGAATTGGCATGGCCCATGGAAGTCTGCATTACATTTTGGAGCAGATCCAGATAAATGAGCAGATCCAGGGATCTTCTTTTCTTTGCTTTAACCTGGTGAGACTGGGCTTTCGCCTTGCTAGAAGAATGCACTCTCTGAATGCTCTTGTAGCTCTAAATGTGTTGATCTCATCCATGGACTTGCCCTGGATATTTGTGCCTCATTCATAGGCAAAACATTTGAGATTTGGAACAAAGAAAAATATGTTTTGCGAGCACATACATCTTACTTTGAACAGATTTTGAGCAACAAAAATCGATTCTGTGCTCAACAAATACATTTGCATGTTGACCATGATCGGTATTAATGTGCAATAATAACACAATCCACTCTCCCTACATTTACACTGTGCGTGTTCAACTTTACCTGCACACACTCTCATCCTGGCACGTTACATTTGTGCCACAAAATCAAAAAACATTTTGATTAGCTGTTTGGTCGCTTCTACAAGAGGATGCCAGATTCTTCTTCATCAAGATCCATGAATTATTCTTTTAGGAATTAGTGTTAATCTCTGACAGTGATATGTTTGATATGTTTCCATCAGTGTGATGCGTTCAAGGTCAGTGAAAGGATACTGCTCCTCCAGCAGCATCCTCTGTATGGCCTCTCTGTTCTCTGGGCTGATGGAGCTGTCCAGCTCCCAGGGCTGCACAACACAGACACAGAGAGACAGTGAGACAGAGACACAGACAGAGAGTCAATGAGGCAGAGACACAGACAGATAGTGAGTGAGACAGAGATACAGAGAGACAGTGAGACAGACAGAGAGAGACAGTGAGACACAGATAGACAGAGAGACAGTGAGATAGAGACATACAGTCAGTGAGACAGAGACACAAACAGAGTAGCTGAATGACTGAGCTTGATAAGCTCATCATTACCAGTGTCCCCGCGCTGCTCGTCCATGAAGACTGAATGAACTGCTCCTGAACTAAACCCTCTGAGTCCAGCTCACTGTAACAGAGAGAAAGAGAAGCTGGTCATGAACGCACCACAGAGGAATCAGGGGAGACACATGAACACACCACGATCTCACATCTGTTGTTAGTTAGTCTGCAGTAAACATGTCTCACTAACAGATCAGAGTTAACCAGCAGTAAACATGTCTCACTAA